TTAATATGACGATCTAAGCAGGAGGAGGTGTGGACGCGAGACTAGAAGCACTAAACAAAATTACTAGTATGACAATTACACACAATAACTCCTGTACAAATCCCTGAGTAAATGGAAATTCCGAGGCAATAGGAGCATTTTAGCTTCATGATGACTATCAGCTGATGATTATGATGACTGTAATGACGTTAAACTTTCCTTTTGCATTTACATATTCCATGCACAATTGCACACATAACATCATTTCACGAGCCAGTCTTGTGTAATGGTCGTCGACGTGTAGAGACGATCTTCGACTGAAAGCAAGACAAATTTCTTCCTCTTCTCTGGTGATCGCATGACACCTGGTTGACATTGAAACATAATACTTCACCATTAGGTATCGATTACTTATACAAACAATATAAAAATATCGTCGTGAGATCATTAACATTCCTGAGAATAAATGGATGACACGAATCGACAATGCTTATTGCCCATTTATTTTCGGAATGCCTATTCCGAACAGAAAACGTCTCATAACTAGGTCTGGCTTTTTCCCAATTGTATCCTCGGGAAAGGACCGAACAGCGACCGCCTATTTTGGATTGACGAGCCAAACAAAAAGTATACTAAGAGTTCAAAAATCCCATAAATTTGGTGGCTCAAATTTGCAGAGCTCTGAGAGCCAAAAGAAATTGGTGTAACGCAAACTCTTCATGTTTTCACGTCAAAAAGCCTTTACTGGTCTTTTTGGAGTTATGAGAATTTTAGACTTGGATAAAACATTGCTGAACATTGAGCTCTAACAAGGAAGAAAGTGCCACTTCAACCTATTTAGCTGTTCCCCATTACCCTGCATTAATGGAGCCAGCATTCAAAGCGCTTTTCTACAACCTCAAAGTTTTCGCCAATGACACTGGGTAAGACTTGGCCAATAAAAAAAAGTGAAACAAATTGAAGTCAGAGGAGCATAAAAACAGCATTTAACAAATAGTACTGACACACAGACCGGTATTGTTACCCAAGCAAACCCTCTGTTTTTTTCCCATTTTTGTCTAGCCATACTGGGAATTTCTGCGCTGTTTGCTGACCGGTTCATCTTTAGGCAACAATGTTGTGAACGGCTTGAAAAAATGCCAACTCAAGGGATTCTCGTGGTTGTACTTACATCAGAAATGCTGGCGAACGAGTCTCGTGAAAAACAAGCCGTTTATTCAGAGTGAATAAAATTTTGGCGAGCATTCAAGACTGGGGGGAGGGCACAGACTTCCCAAGGAACGAGTTAACTTTCAAACATTCATGCATCTCTGCGACAAAGAAATAAATCCACAGTAGCCTTGAAATTAGTGAGGAAGGGGATGAATTACCTCCCTCTTTCTCTTTTTCCTAGCCCGTTTACTAGAATTCAACGAGAACTTTTCTGTCTTCAAAGAGGACTTCCTCCCCACCTTCTCCTCATACTCCACTCACCCCCCCCCCACTATCCCACTTCCCTCCCCTCTCCACAAACCTTTCTCGAAAACGAGTGGATAAACATGTAAGAAGATGGAGAAGATGGAAGGATTACGCCGTGTGAACAATTTATGAGGAACAAAGAGTGACCTTTGACGCTTACTCATCCCAAATCCCTAATGAACTACCAACAACGCACCAAGAAATCCCATAATTTTTCTTGTTCCAGTCAAGATGAAAATGAGAGTGTTTTTCTTCGAAAAGGAGCTTTTCAAAAAAATTTTGTAGGGAACATAGCATATTTTCATGTGATTCTCTACTCGGCAGGCCCATCAGTATACGTCCACACCCGCCTGCATACGAAATTGACATAAATAATGACACTGCTGAACGACGGCATGCTTTCCTACGCGTCCTCATTTGTTTTGCTTTACACCCTCGACGTTCTGAATTCGCCCATCTCATAGCGCTAAGATTTCCCCCTCGTCCCCCTACACTCCTCCCCCAACCGCATGATTCTCACCAACGAATTTATCTCTCGAACGGATGCTTTTAGCGCATATGGTATTTGAGCGAAAGACAGATACACTGCACTTTGAGATCATATGTGCAAAGGAATGTACCGAATAAAAGCAGTGCGATCGCGCTGTATTGAAAGGTTACCATTCATTCTGTTTTCATAATAGCCTCACTGCCATAAAAACAACATCCTCCCCCTACACTCCTCCCCCAACCTACACATTATTCAGGCAGAGCAACAAGTTTACTACTCGAGCTGACTTCGAGCACTCGATGCGGGCCTTTCCCTATTAAAATCTTGCGCTCTCGGACGAAGCCAATGATTCCAGAACCGCCCAATAATATTTGCTCGAGAACAACAGGTTTTCTGGTCCCACAGAAAGGGCGTACTTTGAGCGCCAGCGGACAGTACGTGGACGGCGATGTCAGCTCTAAAATATCGAGAGACTAGACCGGGTTTCAAAGGGCAATGACAGGTGGGATCGAGTTGGCTTCCGCGTGCAACATGTCGTCCGTTCTTGGCATACTTAATGGTCAGTGTCGTAAAAGCCGGGGATGTGTCACTTCGTGCGTCCGAGGCCGCGCGCGGCAAATTGCGCACCGAAGTTCGTGGCGATTTGGACGCCTGCGGCGTTTATCATTTGGGGACAAACTTGAAGTAGAGTAGATTAGTAGGATCAGCTGACCAAACCCAACCATTCCATTTTAAGTTTGTGTCCCAATAGTAGGCGCCAGAGTCGTTTGAACCGGGTGTGGTGCGATTCACGCGCCAATATAATGAGGTCATCGTACAAAACGAGCTAAAACATCATGATTACCATCATAACGGAAGAAATAAGGACTTATAAGTATTATAAGTAAAGAAATGACCAACTATGCACGTTTACAGAAGGATTGCATCTTCTTGATCGAAGAATTTGAAGTTATTCTTATATTGAACGTTTGACAAGTAAGTTGTTGACCTATGAGGGAATTTTCAATCTCGAATGGGCTTTTTTTGCCATAATAAAGAGATTTGCTCTATTCACGGTGAAGCCGTCGACTACTGCAAATATATTTGATCCATCTCAACAGAAAGGCACTGAAACGATGCTGCGTTCGCGAAGACCTCTAATGGGGTCACGCGTGAATCGNGGTGCGATTCACGCGCCAATATAATGAGGTCATCGTACAAAACGAGCTAAAACATCATGATTACCATCATAACGGAAGAAATAAGGACTTATAAGTATTATAAGTAAAGAAATGACCAACTATGCACGTTTACAGAAGGATTGCATCTTCTTGATCGAAGAATTTGAAGTTATTCTTATATTGAACGTTTGACAAGTAAGTTGTTGACCTATGAGGGAATTTTCAATCTCGAATGGGCTTTTTTTGCCATAATAAAGAGATTTGCTCTATTCACGGTGAAGCCGTCGACTACTGCAAATATATTTGATCCATCTCAACAGAAAGGCACTGAAACGATGCTGCGTTCGCGAAGACCTCTAATGGGGTCACGCGTGAATCGCGCGCCCCTCGTTTGAACCGCCACGAACTTCTCTGCACAATTTGCCGTGCGCCTTCTCGGACGCATGAGGTGACCGTCCCCCCATAAAAGCCATAGCCGACTCAACAAGCCATATACACATGCCCTACGTGTGTATCCGGTCGCTACGGCAAAATACACTTGAATGGCGAGGGTGGCGTACAAATCAGTGCAGATGGGAGGGAGGGAGAAGAGCGTAGGGACGATAGGCAGCATAAATTCCTCACGAGTGAGGCACAGCCCCACGAAAAACGCTCGATTCGTCCTCGACAAGTCTCAAGTCGTCGTTGGGTGAGGTGAATGACATTCGAAAGCATTGTGCTTGTGTCGCTTCACGTTGCTTCTCTAATATTGGCTTATACATAAACGCAATCTGAACAATGTTTGCCAAAGACCCTTCCGCTCTCTCACGGAAGCATAATCGGGCCATAACGACAAAGATGAGACGCAACGTACCTGTAAATTGAGTACGTCATCGTCTTCGATACGATAGCTGTGTAATGACATGCCCGGATATCGGAACTCTTCAACCCAGCCGTCCTTCGTCGTGAGAAACATTCGCAGGCGTGAATACGGTATACCACATTGTTTTTCCAACGATCTATAAACCCTCGAACATTTTAAGATAGAATCGTTCCAAAACCCTTAATAAATACAAAATTCATCAAAAGTTATTCTAAAAAAGGGCTTCGGTTTCCTAGGCAACACCCTCTAGGCAATCCAGTAAGGTCAGCCAACTGCACTTATATCCGGACAGCGGATATCCATAGAACCAACACATCACTAAAGAGTAGCCCTCCTCGTACTTTTTCTATGTAATCTATCAAAAGAAATAGAGCAGCGCTGGCAGCAGCCAAACAAACCTATTGCAATTACAGCAGTCAGATGCAGCGACTGCTGTAATTGCAATGGGTTTTATCTTCGGGGTCAAAATGAGTCAAACTGGCTTGGTCATTACCGGTAGCCTCAGTTGCTCACATCGCATAATTTGGTGGCCAGGCCGGAACGTTCAGAACAATAAGTAAACTTTAGTGCATGTCATTATGGCTAACGACAATAATGAATAAATCAACATTCGTCAAATGTGGTAAGCGCTTTGACTTTGAATAGTAATGTAATATGTAGAATAGTCATGTAGCAGTAGCTAGCAGTAGTGTCAGAAGAGAGGCTTACAAATTAGCAGTTTACGCTCAACAGAAGGAATTTTATAGCTCCTAGGACCTTTTTGTGCTTCCTACCCATTCACTTCAGATTCCCTCCACCCCCNCCCCCCCCCCCCCCCCCCCCCCCTCCCCATTAGCAGTACGTGTTCGATTCTCTGCCGTTGTATCCTGTTACAGGAATCTCCTTGAGCTGCCAAGCCTCTGCAAAACTTCATCATGCATGCATGTTTTCGCCCATTCCTCACATCCTATACCACTCCTTCACTTTTTATTGAACATCCTCGTTCTTCAGCCTCGAGCAGACCGCTTCATAAACAATTCGGGCCGTGTATTGGGCTCAGAGCCCCGTGTACTTACTTCATCAGTTGTCCGACACTCTTGTTGAGGTTGATACGAAGCTTGGCTTGATAGTTGGTTTCCTCACAAAGCACCTGTACATGAGCCGTCGATTTTGGCGTGAGATCTACTTTTGCCAGTCGCTCCACATGACCATGCTTTTCGATGAGACGCTTGTAATGATGCGGTTTATCGTCTCGATCCTATAATGGTTGTAAGATGACGACAAGGTGCTTTCCGACCATATCAAAAGTATCCGACAAAGGCCATCTGGACGAGTCCTGTGGGTAAATAAAAGGCAAACCTGATAATAGCGTATGAAGTAACGTTCGGATTGCTCCCGTTGCTCGGGTGTAATGATCGAACCATTTAGTACACGAAGATTACGAACTCGGGCAATGACCAGATGGGTTCGTTCCTCTTCGGTTAACGATTCCAGTAAAGGAATAGCAAGAACTCGTAAATCCGTCAATGATGGCAACCGATCCAAATTGTCAATGCTTTCCCAATCGGAGATTTCTGTCTGAAATAGTATACAGTCCGTTTTGGCTCATTCAAGTGACGTCTTGTACAACTTGGTGGAACTGACAAGAGATATCGTAAAGGTGTCTGGGAAAATCCTAATAAACACGAGGAAGGTCACACTTCTAACTGAACTTTGAATTTTTATCTACTCTGTCATTGAGGTCCCTGATAACCATCGTTTTGGTACATGCCGTATTTGAAAAAGGATGAGAGTCCAGCCTTTGAAACCGAAAACCGGAACTCGAAATGATGCGTATAAAAGCGAAGAAAACCGGTAAATGGAACAAAGGCCATATCCAATGATACTGATGAATATATACGACTGGTATGGATTAAGTTCAAGCGTAAATCGGAAATCATAACGCAATGTACTCCTGGGCTATGATTCGGGCCGAACCCGGTGACTAATGACCAGAGAGCACCAGACACTCTGGAAATTTCTCAGAATCGCTCAGTTCATGTTACTCAATTGACTGAAACTGTAGGAGTTACTTGAAGTCTCGAACCTTTTCAGAGATCAACGATATGCGAATTGGTTTGAACGAATTGTTTTCTGAGCGACTGTCATGATACGTGATGCTTCTAGACAAACAGAAACGATGTGTATTTACCTTGGCGAGATTCAATGATTCGAGTGTCGTCAGTCCATCGTTCGAGGTTTGATGTGCCACCTTCTTTATAGGGTTTTCACATAGAAATAACGTCTTACGGCTGGTAAATCGATGCATCAGACGGACAATTGAATTCCAATCATCAATGCGACACCTGCAACCCAACAAAGCAATAATTCTCTCCCTCGCTCTTTCTATCCAAACATCATAGCAGCCGAAATTTGGACGAGATCTCCTGTGACACATATTCTCAATATGTGTAACAGGAAGTTAGATGAGGAAAAACAATGAGAGCAGAAACGAGAGAAGTGCGTAACGAACCGGTATCATATGTTACCTGTTTAAGTGGATTGTCTTCACGGTCTCATTCATCGGTGACATGTCACAGTCAGACGAAAGATCGAGTTTATTGTCTGATAAATGTAGTTCCTGTAGTAAAGGCGTGTTTTTTAGAATTAACCACAATGAATTCAGTGATAGATTTGTTCCATTCAAAATCAATGTGTGTAATAGCGGAGCAGGTGGCAGATCGACGGCAATCTAAAAGAAATCATAGAAAAAATCCAGTTTGTGAGTGAATAGTTCCTTGAGTGGGATAAACATTGGAAAACAAAGGAAAGTAGAACTTCTGTCTACGTTTTTGAGAATTGGAGAGTAAGAAAGTGAGTTGTGAGTCAAGATTGACTACTGAAGCTGACTTGTAATCTACAAACTTTACTAATTCCGCTTACAAGCATTTGTTTCAACCAATTTTCTTAAGACACATGGGAGACCGCCTGCACTATCATGCCATTCGGTGGCAGGGAAAGGGCATCTTCAGGCGCTCAGTTTAATGTATTGCGCCTTTCTTAAGCGTGACATTCCGTAAGAACCAACCAATCTAGTTTACGAGAGAAGCCATAATCTTATCTAGCTCCTTCTTCCGTCATCCCCCCATAGGAAAGTGAGATCGACCTTCCTCCCCTTATCGCTTCGCCTTTAGACCAGACCGTTCCCACAGTCACGATAACTTCAACTTTTGCTAAGTCACACTTCATAGAATGCCTAGACATAGAATTCCTGTTTCTTAGAGACAGAGGAAAAGTCCTTTTCTATTCCCACTACCCATTCCTACTGCAGTACTTCAACACATTTTAATCCGGCTGTAGTTAGCCTCCAAAAAACAAAATTCTAGACCATTGCAGGCTTCATTACCAAACGTAGCCAAAAATAAGCTGGCGCACCAGAGCAAGTGCGTAACTAAACGCTCTGTAGGAAGCCAGAAAACGATATTACTCGCTAAGACAGAATAGCAATCAGGAGGAGTGGAGAGAAAGAAGGAGTGATAAGTCGAAAGATTGAAGATCAATCTGCACATTCACCTCACCATCCAATGGGTTATAACTGAGATTTAGCGTACGTAACCGTGGTAGATGTTTGAGCAAAGCCACCACACAATCCCATCGAATACGATTCCAGGCAAGATCAGCCTGAAACGGTCGAAAAGTAAGTATAGCATGAAAGTAACAGAAGCATAATGAGAAGTTTCCAATTGAAAATACAGACATACTTCGGCAACATGCTGCATGAGCGTCGATACCTGTGTAACATCACCCAAATGTGAAATATTGGCATTATTCAATACGACCAGTTCGAGGGCACGTTTACTCGCCATTTTACATGGTGAACTTCCCGTCTGAAGATTTTGCTTTCACTGATGAGAACGATGTCACGTGGGGGCATTCTCTGGGCCACAATATGCTCAGTTAGAGCTGCTAACAATGGTTTCAGTCTAACCAGTTGGCAGTTTCGCAACAAACATGTTATTGGGCTTTATCTCCAGTTCGGATCAAATATGTGAAGCTAGTTAGAAGATCTAATTAGCAAGGATTGAGTCAGACATGATGGCGGCATCTTATATGTACGCCGCGCAGGCGCCATAGCCTCGATAGCAATTAAAAGCTCACTAGTCAGTTCAATCTGGTTCTATTTTTCACAAGAAAGTCAGGATAAGTACGAAAAGAGCTGAAGGACATAAGACAAGCTGATCAAGCTGATTGAACATGGAGATAAAGCGTTTCACGGGATCAAGTCTACTGATACACGTATGTAAAGCATCAGTAGAACTTACAAAATTTGTGAGCACAAGATCTTGATCCATGTAGGCGTCGTCATCATCCAGGTACTTTTGCTCGAGCTTGTAAACGAGCGAGCACGTCTCTCCCTCCATGACAGCAATCAGCTGACTACGATGAAACGCGTCGCGTGTGAGGCACGCGATGCGGCGCCCGCCCACCTCGTCATCATGCTGCCACCGACCGCCTTCGATGAACTTGACTGATTTCTGAAGGATCGATGGTCGCTCTGTTGTTTTCACTCAGTGGTTAGGTAGATGTGATTTTTTTACGACATGTACTTGACACCATAGGAAAAGGAGACACTTTCCGAGCAGTTAAGCATTTACTGGAACTCTGAACAACTTCGAATGCTTACATCTTAAACTCGTAAAAGTAAATAACATTAGTTCGCAGCGAACCAGCTGTAGTCTTCAGATGTTGAGTGCCTAGATCGCGAGAAAACTAGTGAAGTCCGAGGGCGTAGAAAAGGAGTTAACGATCGCGGAGGGGGAATCGCACTTATCTACTACAACTACATCCCTCCGAAATCCCTCTCGATCTCCCCATCCAACAGGTAGTTTCTTGGTCATTTTAAATTCAACCTCCCAGCCATGCTCACCCGGATGGACAACACAGTGATAAGAAGTATCGAATGTGTTCGTATGGTCCGTGCGATCAAGCGGGGGACTATAACTACCCTCGATGAAGTCCCCGCTTCTCGTCAGTTTATTGGAGTGAAATTCGTGTTCAACGATATTAACACCAACTCACACATGGGTGTGACCATTGAACAGTTCGATGAATATATGTTTATCTTAAAAAGGATGGCGAGTTACGGGTAAAACGATTAGACGGGACTCCAGTCCCTACTCGTGTACTCGTGCTTTCGGAGCCTTGTGCTCTTCGTTCCTTACCTTAACGGAAAATAGCAGCTGAGAAAAATTCACCTAAGTGTCTCCACGACTCCAGCTAGGGAGGTACCTGGAATTTGTATGAGGATTTGAAGGAAGGCCTAAAGAAATCTGTAGAACCTGAAATTCGCAAATATGAAAGCCAAAATTACTTTTTGTATCCAACAGGCAAGTAGTTTTTAGAGGTCAAAATCATTTGAAATACAGTAGACTAAAGCAAGTTACCTACAAAATAACTCCGCTATCAAAAACATGGAAAGCGAGTAACTTTTACTCAAAAACATTGGAAAAGTGGAAAGTGGAAAACATTCACTC